TACAACAAAAAAATTTGTTCTTTCTTTTTTTCTCCTTCTTTTTCTTCTTCTTTGTTCTTTTTTTTTGTTTTTTGTTTTTTTTTTTTTTCTTAAATTAGCGTTACTCAAGGTTTCTAGCGAAATATATGTATAATTATATGCGTTTATATATTATATATAGATAGATCTGCGTTCCATAACCTGAACACATTCTAATCTTGTATACTAATTAGCGTTCTCGTGAGTAAACCCTTCTCTGCGCCAACTCTGCTCGTAACGGGGGTCGACGTTCATTCATTCAAAATCGGTGCTGTCGGTACGGCTAAGATCATCATCATCATCATCATCGTGATATACGAATCTACCCGTGGAACTAAGGAACACAGGAGAAAAACACAAATTGTCTCTCAGGCTGATCGAAAATCGAAGCCTGTTCGAAATATTTATAATTATCTTTAGTTCTTTTCTTTTTTCGGATTATTTTTAACAATAATGAAATTTTATTATTATTATTATTGTTGTTGTTGTTATTCTTCTTCTTTTTCTTCTTCTTGTTCTTCTTCTTCTTCTTTTATTTCTTCTTTTTCTTCTTCTTCTTCTTCTTTTTATTATTATTGTTGTTGTTGTTGTTGTTATTGTTATCGTTATTATTATTATTATTATTATTGACAATATATTATTGTTTATAATCAAATTATGGATTAAAATTAACAAAAGACATCGTTAACAATTTTAGGTAGATTCGTGATTTTGCGGAAAAAAGTGTAAATTTGAACACTTTTTTCTTTTTTCTTAAATTAAATACTATTACTTCCACCACGAAATTTTCAACGAATCGACTTCGAAGGATTCAAGAAAAATGGAAGAGTTTCACGAGATCCATCAGATCTTACCACCGCACGACATATCGATTTAATGATTTCTCTCCTCTTCGATTGGCGTCAATTAAAAATTGCGGTCAAATTTATATTTCTCTTCTTTTTATTATTTATCTTTATAAATATTTTGATTCCAGTAAGTCTAAGGTTTTTCTTCTCTTCTTTCCTTTTTGTAATCAATCAATTAAATAGGAAAAAACAGATTTTTAATAATTTTCTTCTTTTATCTTTTTCACTTTAGCCAGAAAGTGAAAATAGAAAAACAGTTTCTACAATTTAAAAAAAAAAGAATATTTCTTTAATGTCACTCGTTTAATCTACTTGAAAAAAATATTAATCAACGATAAATAAAATTTTTATAAGGTTTCTAATGTTCTCTTTCGTCACACGCTGTACTCTATTGTTTTTATACCGTCGTTCTTTTTTTTTTCTTTCTTTTTCCTGCTCGTTTCTTTACATTTCTCTTGATCTCGTTTGCTTGCTTTTCTTTTCTTTTTCCCCTTTCGTTTTTTCTTTTCTTTTTTATTTAAAAAATAAGTTTTTAACTACTCACGCTAAAGCTATAACTACGAAGTCGAGCCAATTCCATGCATCTCTAAGATAGGTAAAAGGCTGCAGAATGAAACCCCTCGCCATCACCTTAACGGCGGACTCAAATGTGTAGATGCCCGTAAATATCACTCTGAAAATAACAAACACACCACTCAGCTTTTAAATGCGATTTCTTTCTTTCTTTTTTTTTTCTTTTCTTTTTTTTTTTTTTTTTTTTTTTTTAGGAGGGCGCGCGCATACACACACGTCTCTCTCTTTCTACTTGGCACATCACACTGACGAGTCGCATCAGCGACACACTCACATGGCAAAAAAAAAAAAAAAAAAAAAAAAATATAAGTCGATTTCAAAATATATTTGTTTCAAAGAATTGTTTTCAAACAAATATGAAATTTAGAATTTGCTGTTAATAAATTTATTTATTTATTTATAAAACGTTTATTTATAATAATACTTTCTCAAATACTTTGTAAAATAATTAAATTAAGAATTTGAAAAGTTGCCATATTAAAATTAAGAATAAAGATGCTTTGAAAGATCAAATTAATTCGATAAAAAAAAAGATACGATGATTATAGAAAAGGTATAGAGTCAACCAGAGAATTTCCAACAATATTTTAAATCTCTGTTCAATATCTCTCTTCCAAGTATCGATTAAGTCATGATAAGTCAGTTCAACAAATGTCACCGTGTTTCGATACCAGTCGCGACGTATTCTACTTGATCTCACCACAGCTGGTAAGTACTTACTAAACCGAATAGAACTTAATTCCCGTTGCAAAAGACAGATTAGCACCGTGTAGCAGTCTCCCCGGTATAGCGAAGTCGTAAAAGTACGAGGAAGATTCAAAACTTCAGTCAAGGCTGCGTGTAACGTACATATATCTTAAGCGAAGTTCATTGCCTGAGGTTCATTGTTTCCGTTATATTCTTGCTTCAATTTTATTTTTCAGCAAATTCCCTTCCTCTCCTTTTTTCTTTTTCACTCCATCTTCAAATTAAAGGCAAAAGAATTTCGACTATTCTTAATGTAAAATATAACAGTGTGATTACAATTAAAACAAATATTAAAAATGACAACGGTGATTACTTAAAAATTACTTCGTGATCTCATGACAAGTTGAGAACCACTGTCGATAATCGTGAGCCAGTGAGCATAGTCGCTTTTGCTAAAACTAGGCGATAATATCCAATCGCTATCGATATCTAATTAATTAATTACAGATCGCCGTCAGACCAAGTCAGCTATAATCGAGCACGATCCAAGCGAACCAATTTCTCTCTTTCTATCGATTCAACGATATATCTGACAATACGATTCATACATCCATTTCCATTTTTCCTCTTTCTATATCATAGGTGTCGTTCGCACGGATCGTTCACATTATCTACGCTACCTCTAGAGAGACTAGAACAAAACTTACCAACGGTTATACAATTTATCACACAGTCTCTACTCATATATTTAGAGCTATAACACGTAGAACATTGCTTGAAATATCTATACTTTGAACAACGTGTACTCGAGCCTTGAGCTTTCGATGAATTCACTCCGAATTCACAATAAAGAGAAAAATAAGTAAGAATATGAATAAATAGCTTGTGATAGAATGGTGCAAAATTAAGTAGAAAAGAAGTGGAAGAATAAAATTTTTTTTCTTCTGAGGAAATCAAAATTGAAAATTGCGTTCAATGTGTCGATAATTTTAAATTCGATTTATTATATAAAAGGAGACGTTGAATAGAAATAAAAATTTCATTCCATAGTTTCGGCTTATTTTTGAACATGGAACATTCTTGTATTTGATAATGTAAGATTCATCTCCGGCTTAGGCTCGTAAACACGCTAAGCTACATTGATTCACAGTCACTGCAGAGCAAGCGTAAATATATAATCGATCGACAAATTTAACAAAAATTTGAGTAAAAAGTAGATTGTAACTCTCGATACTTCCTCGACTGCGCCATTTCAATGTAATTTTATCTTGGAGATAATTATAGATTTATTCGTTTCAAGATGTTGCCTGTTCCACGCACGAGTTAATATATAATAGAATACGTTTAATTAGAACGTGAAACACCTGTTTACTGATTCGCTTCCATCCATTCGAGCGTCATACGATGATTAAAGATTTCGATCGCGGAGGAATTTTCCAGCTTTTATTCTATTACCTTTACGAGTGAAGAAAAAAAAAAAAAAAAGAGAAAAGAAAAGAAAAATTCAATTCTCTTTTCGATTTTAATTTT